AGTTCCTCTCCGCTGGAGAGGCGCAAGACCACATCTGCATCACCCGAAGAGCGCAACGCTGCAACTCTGGCGTGCCCGACCTGAACTGAGACCACCAAGACGCGCACTCAATCGTCTCGCTGTCGCCGCTGCACGCTCGCCCACGAGCACGCCCCTCCGGCCCGCCCCAATCCCCGAACCTGCCCCAATCCCCGAACCTGCCTCGCTGAATGTGGAAGTCCTCAAACTGCTGACGTGCAAGGATGTACTCCGCACCCTCCAACTCGAATCCCGTCTGCGTCAGAATGTACCTCTTGGCTTTCCCCACAAGCCAAGCATCGTACCGCTCTACCTGACCCGAAAAGTAGCGAACGTGTTGCCTGCGGGGGCTCAGTAAGAACCCTGCGCAGTGAGCTGGCTCAAGCATGTGCTGTGTGCGAGCGTGCGCACGCCTGATGATCCGGTCGGCAAACGACTTCCCCAAAGGGGAACATGCGTCCATGACACGGCGGACAAGATCCTGCGTCCACTCGATCATGAGGGACATGTACCGTCCTCCACGTTCCATCCGCCTAAGCAACTCCATGACGGGCTGCATGATATGGACGATGGTGGCCACCCTCTGCCACCATGGATCCCATTTGATCTGTCGGCGCACCCAACGTACCATGACGCACACATCGGCGGACCACGGGATGGAAGCAAAAGCCCGCGAGTCATCCCCTCGCATCATGTCCTGCAAAGTGTGAGGAGGGTGGCACCAGTCACCCAGAATGGCTGCCTCACCTCCTCCAACTCCTCCGCCAACTTCGCACGGTGGGTCTCCACCGCCCGCATACTCGCAATCTCGCAGTGGTTGGGGAGCACAGCGAGCGGGGAACTGCTAGGCTGCTCAAGAAGCACCTGTTGATATGCCTTCCAAGCCTGGTTGCGGAAGGCATTGAAGGAGACCCCGCAGGAATACAGCCAGCGAAGGAATGCCTTCTTGTGGCGAGCAACCCACTCGCCACCGTAGACATCAGTCACCTTTTGCTGGCGAAGCCTCTTTCCTGCTGGGGTGGCAGCCGGATCACGTCCTCCTTCCTTCCTCTTGGAAGACCCCTYCGTTGCAGCTCTTTTGGCTGCTCGTCTTCGCAAGTCCTCCAACCTCTCCCCAGTGCCTGGATGAAACTCTGGCACGTCCTCCTGTTCCGGGACTCCCTTCTCGCCTGGGCACGCGCCTCGCGATCGACGTGGATCACGCCCACCTCCGTCTCACCACCTCCACCACCCAAAGTGGGGTCTGGCGCACCATGCCCACCATCTCCCCCG